GTTCAGAACTCGTAACGACGGCCGTCAAGTGGATGCCTTTAGATTTCGTAACAATGAATAATGGTAAACCTTAGCGACGCAGACGATTGGAGACAGGCAACTATCAGGGGGAAAGCGCCAAGCCATTACGACTATATATAGCACTTGGAAGCAGATGATTTGGAGGGTTATCTTAAGAGGTTATCTTAAGATGATTTCCGGGCTTTAGTGTCCCCGCGGCCCGGTCCTCGACCAGGCCTCCACCCCCAGGAAGCAGCCCGTGACAGCTGACTAACACCCAGGTACCTATTTACTGCTAGGTAACAGTTAATTAAGGGTTAATTAGCCACTCTCCCGCTCTCTCCACCTGTACACAAAATACAGCTGTTTTTACCTAACTGGTCAACGCACGAACCCACACAACCCACCTAATTTAACGAGGCGCCGAGGCGTAGTGTACGTGAATAATACGATGCTTCAGGCTTACTAAAACAGTCTTCATTTTAACGGATTGGTCGATTGTGTCAAAAATTGTGACGTATTAGATGAGCGGACGAGTTGCAGCCAATCAGCAGCTAGTATTACTGAAACACAATATTTTATTAAGTTTACAGAAAACAGAATTGACGTATGAGAGGGGAAAATAGTTGGGTGTAAATAGGACCTGCCTGGTATGGGCCAGTAGACCTATTGTGTTTGGCCCAGGAGGCCTATTGCTGTGTTTCTTACTTGTGTTACTTTGTTCATTTGCTGCGTTTTCCAGAGCTGGTGTGACGTAGGTTGTTTGTGGCCCAAGAAAGTCCTCGTTTACGATCTTTTAATTCTTTCTTAGCCAGAGCCAGCTTTATGTAGGCTGGTGATGGCTGCCTGCGTACACCAGGCCACAACAACCACCTCAAACACGCACTCAACGCCTTGCGTACACAAGTGTTGTGTACGCAAGGCCACAACCAGCCGTTGTGTACGCAAGGACTCGTAAACGGGTCAAGGCAACACTCTACTGCACGGTTCTACTCAACACATTTGAAGGTCCGCGTTCGAGGCTCACGTCCACTGCTCTAACACAGTGAGGGTTTATTTGTGTTCTTCAGTTTCACGAACATGTTCAGTAGGCCTGGGTGTCATCGGTGAGCATGTTCAGTAGGCCTGGGTGTCATCGGTGAACATGTTCAGTAGGCCTGGGTGTCATCGGTGAACATGTTCAGTAGGCCTGGGTGTCATCGGTGAACATGTTCAGTAGGCCTGGGTGTCATCGGTGAACATGTTCAGTAGGCCTGGGTGTCATCGGTGAACATGTTCAGTAGGCCTGGGTGTCACCGGTGAACATGTTCAGTAGGCCTGGGTGTCATCGGTGAACATGTTCAGTAGGCCTGGGTGTCATCGGTGAACATGTTCAGTAGGCTTGGGTGTCATCGGTGAACATGTTCAGTAGGCCTGGGTGTCATCGGTGAACATGTTCAGTAGGCTTGGGTGTCATCGGTGAACATGTTCAGTAGGCCTGGGTGTCATCGGTGAACATGTTCAGTAGGCCTGGGTGTCATCGGTGAACATGTTCAGTAGGCCTGGGTGTCATCGGTGAACATGTTCAGTAGGCCTGGGTGTCATCGGTGAACATGTTCAGTAGGCCTGGGTGTCATCGGTGAACATGTTCAGTAGGCCTGGGTGTCATCGGTGAACATGTTCAGTAGGCCTGGGTGTCATCGGTGAACATGTTCAGTAGGCCTGGGTGTCATCGGTGAACATGTTCAGTAGGCCTGGGTGTCATCGGTGAACATGTTCAGTAGGCCTGGGTGTCATCGGTGAACATGTTCAGTAGGCCTGGGTGTCATCGGTGAACATGTTCAGTAGGCCTGGGTGTCGCCTGTGAACGTGTGAACGTGTGACAGCGTCCATTATAAGGAGAGGTCCGTGTTAGGGGGTGTTTGACACGCGGCCATATCTTGCCGCCACATTACCGAAATTTCTCGGTGGATTAGACGAGTTTGTGTGAGAGAAGGGGGTGTGCGGAGGGGGTGTGGTGGAGGGGGGGTGGTGGAGAGGGTGTAGTGGAGGGGGGTGTGGTGGAGGGGGGTGTGGTGGAGGGGGAGGGGTGTGGGTCCTCATGAATGTGGTAGGTCTCACGATGTCCGGTGACGTGTATATCATCAGATTGGTCAGGCCCTGGCCAGACCGGAGCCCACCCCGTCACACCCACCTCAAGCCCACTCTGGCATAGCACCCTACCGTGCCCACCCTCAGCAGTGCGGGCTGTATGGGTGCCACCAGTGGTCACAAGGGTCTCACACTGCTGGACACCCACACAGTGAACCAGGACCAGGCTTCAACAAGCAGTTCCCCAACCATTGACGAACCTGTACATCTTCTCTCCATCTTTGGCGACTTTGTTTACATGTATTAAACAGTTTGTGAGCGTCGAAACTTCCCAAACAAACACACAGAACTCACAATAACGTGATGCATCAATGAACAAATCTTCATTGAACATTTGAAATCAATGAACATTTGTTCATTGATTTCAATGAACATTTGTTCATTGATTTCAATGAACATTTCAGTTCAATGAACATTTGTTCATTGATGCATCACGTTATTGTGATTCCTGTGAGTAATGAAGGAAGGGCGAAGAGGTAGAACGGTCTATTGACATAGCTCGGGTGCATGGGGGGAGTTGTGTAAAGCCCTGGTTTGTGTCTCAGAGAGGCTGCAGGATCCAGTAAGTTCAGTAGAACTTCGATTTCAACTCTTTTTTTAACCATGCCGTAGCTCAGTCGATTAAGGCAGTGTCTGGGATGCTCACAGACGTACGTTCAAATCCTCGTCACGGCCCTTGTGGATTTGTTCTTCCCAAACAAATATTATTATTGTAGACAGCCCTTTTATAGTGCTCCGGAGATCAGCAACCAACCGGATGTTCTCTGGGAGAACATCCGCTCACGGGAATGACTTGAGAAGTACATAACTAGTGCTGTTATCTACTCTGTCTCTCAGTGGTTAGGTCAAGGTTACTTTAGGGGGAAGGTTTGGTTAGGTTTGGTTTAATTATGTTTGGTTACGTTAATACTGTGTATTATTGACGATAATGTTAGATAGTTTTTGAATTCTATATGTAAGTGTACCCGAGAATTCCGTTTACAGAAAACCAAATTCTTAAAAAAAAAAGTTTTCAGCATATACTTTTTTATTTAAAACCAATGATTTATAATACAATACAGTTATAACCTGAGAATAATATGTTTAAGACAAAGGTTCACTCGACAGTTTACACGTAGAGAATTAATAGAACCGTAATATGCTCTCAGGCCATCACAAATATCTAGATAACTCTCCAGGGGGTCTGAGGGGCGGAAGGTTGCTCGTGGTAATGGAATTACCTCTCGGGACGAGTAGGTTATCTTGAGGTTATCTTGAGATGATTTCGGGGCTTTAGTGTCCCCGCGGCCCGGTCCTCGACCAGGCCTCCACCCCCAGGAAGCAGCCCGTGACAGCTGACTAACACCTAGGTACCTATTTTACTGCTAGGTAACAGGGGCATAGGGTGAAAAAAACTTTGCCCATTGTTTCTCGCCGGTGCCCGGGATTGAACCCGGGACCACAGGATCACAAGTCCAGCGTGCTGACCGCTCGGCCGACGGGCTCCTATAGTATAACTATACCTATAACTATACCTCCTAAAGGGCTTCTTTAATATATATGTAAACCAAGCCGCCGAAGACTGAGAAGAGATGTTCGTAAGTCCTGGCGCTTACGAACCTCTTGAAATCCTTGTTCAAGCCTAGAACCTGCTTGATGACACCTGTTCTAGGTGTTGTATCTTGTATGTCGTGATGTGTATCACTACCCATCCTCCAGGAGTGATGGAGCCATCATAGCTACACGTACAAAACATTGACTGTCGTACACACAAATAAAGTTCATGTTTTTTGCACCTATTGGAGTCCTGAAGGACGTATAACGAGAGAGCAAACAAACAAACAAACAATAATACTAAACCTTCACCTTTTGCCTAAATAAGCATTATTAGGCCTAACATACGCAATCTTAGGCCTAATTTATTGGGTTAAATGGTTACTTATTTGCAAGAGTCCATACCATCCATCATGGTCCTGGTTACTGTCCCGTTTGGTTGACAGGTTGATAAAATGGTTGTGTGATTAATATTTGGAACTTTGCATATCTCTAATTGTGCTGTGTCATCACCCGTGCCCCTACCCCCCCCCCCCCCCCTTCTCTGCCTCGACCCTCCCTCCACCCTCCCTCTCGGCCTCCCTCTCTCCCCCTCTGCCCTCCTCTTTTCCTTCCCTCACTCCCTCGCTCCCTTTTTAAGTTTCTCAGTCCTCTGTTTCTTCCTTCCCCTTTTTCTCCTTGTTTCCCCCCTTCCCCTCTCTCTTGTTTCTTCTCCTTCCCTCTCGTTTCTCCTCCCTCCCACTCTCTCTCTCTCTCTCTCTCTCTCTCTCTCTCTCTCTCTCTCTCTCTCTCTCTCTCTCTCTCTCTCTCTCTCTCTCTCTCTCTCTCTCTCTCTCTCTCTCTCTCTCTCTCTCTCTTCCCTCCTGTTTCTTCCCCACCTTCACTGCCATTTCTCCCCCAAACAGTTTCACTCTCAGACGTCAACTGCTGTGTGATTTTGACAGGGTTCGTATTTGCCTTACTGGAGTCGAACTTGGTGTCGGAGAGTCTGCTGAGTGCCGCTTATCCATGGTGCCTGGCTCTGGTTGGCACTTACCTCACACCTTTGGCACCTGAGCTGACACCTGTAGTGACACATGTACCACACTCTTGGCACCTGGCTTGGCCCTTGACACCTGGAGTGACACATGTACCACACTCTTGACACCTGTCCTGGCCCTTGACACCTGGAGTGACAGATGTCCCCTCACTCTTGACACCTGTACTGGCCCTTGACACCTGGAGTGACAGATGTACCCTCACTCTTGACACCTGTCCTGGCCCCTTGAGACATGAGGCCCGCGGGTGATGAGTGAGGGCCATCTCCTGGTCAGCCCCACAAATGAGTTATGACTTAC